TTTGTTTTTTTTGTAGAAAATATCTGTGGATTCAAAAAATTTTAATTTAAAATAATATTTTTGAAGAAAACTTTTGTGGAACGTAATTTTTTTGCAGGAAATCTTGTGAATATTATAATTTTTTCCCAAATATGTGTGGAATGAAATATATTCCATTGTGGAATCAAATATATTCCATATGTTGTGGATCGTAATATTTTCTATAGAAAGTCGCATAAATCGTTGAAATTTTTAAATCTTGTTGAAATTAAGAAAAAATAATTTTCAAAGAAAATCTTGTGGAAAGTAATATTTTCTATCCAAAATAGTGTGGATCGTAATATTTTCTTTCAAAAATCTTGTGGAACGTAATATTTTCTAATGAAAATATTGCGGAACGTAATATTTTCCTTAGAATATCATGTGGAACGTAATATTTTCTATGGATAGTCTTGTGAATCGTAATATTTTCCATAGAAAATCTTATGGAATCTAATATTATCTACATAAAATCTTGTGGAATGTAATATTTTCTATAGAAAGCCTTGTGGAACGTAATATTTTCGAAAAAAAATCGTGGAACGTAATATTTGCGAAAGAAAATCTCGTGGAGCGTAATATTTTTTTATAGAAAATATTGTGGAACCTAATAATATTTACATAAAATCTCTTGTGGAATGTAATTTTTTCCAGGTATGTGATTGTGGGTCGTAAATATTTCTTATAGAAAATCGTGTGGAACTTATTATTTTCTATATATTATATGTTTCTATAGAAAATCATGTGGAAAGTAATATTTTCATTAGGAAATTTTGTGGAACGTAATGTTTTCTATAGAAAATCTTTTAGATTGTAATGTTTTCTTCGGAAAATATTGTGGATCCTCAAGAAAAATTTGTGGAATGTACAAATTTCTATAAAAAACCGAGTGAATCTTAAAATTTTTTAAAGAACATCTTGTGGATCGTAATATTTTCTTGTAGAAAATCTTGTGAATTTTAATATTTCTTATAGAGAACATGTGGAACGTAATATTTTCTATAGAAAATATTGTGGAACATGTTATTTTCTATAGGGAATCGTGTGGAACCCATTACGTTCTATAGAAAATCTTGTGGAACCCAATATTTTCTAGAGAAAATCGTGTGGAATGTAATATTTTCTATAGAAAATCTTGTGGAACGTATAGAAAATCTTGTGGAACGTATAGAAAATCAAGCGGAACCTAATATTTTCCAAAGAAAATCTTGTGGAACGTAATTTTTTCTATAGAAAATCTTGTGGAACGTAATGTTTTTCATAGAAAATCATGTGGAACTTAATAGTTTCTATAAAAATTTTGTGGATTGTAATATTATCCTTGGAAAATCTTGTGGATCCTAATTTTTTTCTTGGTTCTTATTATTCTGAATTCAGTTTTTTTTAAATTTGGGAATTTGACATTCGGACTTTCTCTCCTTAATGCATAAATTACATATTTTAGACATATCATTTCCGTTACAAATCATTTGCAAAAATTTGCTTAACCCTGGCGTAACATTGCGGTTGTTATTGGTACCATTATTAAGGTCTTATGGCAAAAATTTAAGTTTGTATTCAAAGAAAATGTACGGCAAAAAAGCAAACCTAATTTTCATAGTTTTTTGGTGTTGTTGTTGCCCTTTAGCACACGTTTGAAACAAATGACTTTGAGAGTTGATGGTTGGTGGTTTTTGTTGTTGTTGCCTGACAAACTTTACAACCGAAGAGTTCATAGCCTGCCTCCAGCTCTGAGGAGGAGAAGGAGCAAAACGTTTTTTTTCGTTTTTACTGGATATTTCATTAAATGGCTTGTTGTCGGTTTTGTTTTCCCGACCATTTGCATTTCAATCAGCGACCACAGGGAGTTTTTTTCTAGAGGACGGCAAAGAGAACTAACACAAACACACACAGAGTCACACATAAAAATCCACTACCTATCCAAGTGAGCCGTCTGTCAGGCATGGTTTGAGAGCAATTTGAATATTTTCCACCATGTTAAACATAATAACAGCGGCAACAAGAGCTACAACAGCAACAACAACAAAGCAGCAACAATAGGACAAGGTGGTGGCCATTGCCAAACAATTCCTGGCAAGGTGAGGAAACAAAACAAAAAATAATTAAATGCCGTTGTCCGTGTGAAATGGGAGTGGACAGGTCAGAGATTTGTTTCTTTGGAATTTTTATTAAAGACGATGATGATGGCATAATGGCATAATACAAATGGTAAAAGAGAGAGAGAGACAGAGTGAGGGGGAGAGTGAGAAAGTAGGTAGTGTAGGGAATATGGCTTCAAACAAACACCGAGATTTTAATGTCCTTTGAAAATAGTTTAAGAAAATCTTCTTAAATACCCTTCTTCCACTTTTGCTTTGACAAAACAAAAATAATTTTTGTCCTCCTAACAACAATAAAAATCCTCATGGCCTGGCATAAATTTGCCAACTTTCCGTCTAAAGACATTGGCGGCATCGTTAAATTCCGTTAACTGCTGTTTATAAATCAACGACTTTGAATTGTTGAATTGCCAAAATGGCGAAAGGTTTTAGCCACTTCGACAAAAAAGGGTTTTGTCTTCTAAGGACAAAAAACACAAAAAAAAAAATTGGCAAAGGCCAACAGCACAAAAATACAATGACCTTAATAAGCCTTGGTAACAATGAGACATTTTACTGCGTCACACAAACACACACGCAAGCAAAAGTACTGGAACGGAGACCATGGGAAATCTAATCCGTTGAGTATTTGGTTTCTTGACAATATCTATTTGGCTAGACAAATAGAATAAGACACACACACACACAGTTATCTGCAACCTTAAATGGCAGGATAATAAACAAAGGATTCCATTAGGAAATTGAGACCCAACAAAACAAAAATCATGTCAAGATCAAAAGAAAAAAATATTTAAAGATTTAAAAAAAAAAATGGGGAATTAATTTTTACATAACAAAATTTTGTGGAACGTAGAATTTTCTTTAGAGAATGTTGTGGAACGTAAGATTTTAGTTCAACAATTTTGTGGAACGTTATATTTCATAAAGAAAAATTTGTGAAATGTAATATTTATCTTAAAAATTTTGTGGAACGTAGTATTATGTAGAGAAAATTTTGTGGAACGTAATATTTTCTGTATAAATTCTTGTGGGACGTAATATTTTCTATAGAAAATTTTGTGGAACGTAATATTTTCATTAGAAAATCGTCTGGAAGGTAATATTTTCCTTAGAATACCATGTGGAACATAATATTTTCTATACAAAATTTTGTGGAATGTAATATTTTCCATAGAAAATCTTGTGGAACGTAATTTCTTCTATATAAAATATTGTGAAGTGTAATAATTTCTTTTCAAAATCTTGTGGAACGTAATATTTTATATCGAATACAGTGTGGATTGCAATATTTTCTTTCAAAAATCTTGTGGAACGTAATATTTTCCGAAGAAAATGTTGTGGTACGTAATATTTTCATTAGAAAATCGTGTGAAAGGTAATATTTTCCTTAGAATACCATGTGGAACATAGTATTTTCTAGACAAAATTTTGTGGAATGTAATATTTTCCATAGAAAATCTTGTGGGACGTAATATTTTTCTATATAAAATTTTGTGAAGTGTATTATTTTCTTTTCAAAATCTTATGGAACGTAACATTTTCTATCGAAAATCGTGTGGATCGTAATATTTTCCAAAGAAAATATTGTGGAACGTAATATTTTCTATGGATAGTCTAGTGGATCGTAATATTTTCTAAAGAAAATCTTGTGGAACCTAATATTATTTACATAAAATCTTGTGGAGTGTAATTTTTAAATAGAAAATTGTGTGGAACGTAATATTTTCTGTATAAATTCGTGTGGAACATAATATTTTCTAGAGAAAATTTTGTGGAATTTAACCCTTTGAGCCCCGAATTTTTTCCCGCAATCTTAGGACAAATTTCTGTTCCCAGATTTAATGCAACTATCCTAAATAAGATAGGCACAATATTTGACATCGATATATCCTTGCATTCGGAAGATACAGTGCATTCTTTCGGAAAAAATAAAGTCCAATATCAAGAAAACCAAACGCAAAATCGTCAGAAAAATCATTTTAAATTATTCTCTGTATTCAATTTTACAAGAATCAAAAATAATTCTCTATATTGGAAAGCTCATAACTTTACCAAATTTTTGAATTTTTTGATTTTTCTTTTGATATGTGTCGTCCAAAATCAATTCTTCACATATGAAATCCAAATAATACATATCTACTAGCAGCATATAAAATATAAGCTCTAAAACATTTTGTTGCCTGTGGGCAACATTGGGCCACAAAGGGTTAATATGATCTACATAAAATCTTGTGAAACGTAATATTTTCTATAGAAAATCTTGTGGAACGTAGTATGCATAGAGTAGATCGTAATATTTTCCTTTAAAAACTAATGGAATGCAATATTTTCTAAAGAAAATGTTGTGGAACGTAAAATTTTCTTTAGGCAATCGTGTAGAACGTAATATTTCCTATAGAAAATTTTGTGGAACGTAATATATTCAATAGAAAATCATGTGGAATATAATATTATTTGTAGACAATCTTGTGGAACGTAATATTTTCCTTAAAAAAATCATGTGGAACGTAATGTTATTTAGAAAAAAATTTCTGGGACGTAATATTGTCTACATAAAATCTCGAGGAACGTAATATATAGAAAATGATGTGGAATGTAAACTTTTTTGTATTTTTTGAGGAACATAGTTATTTTTATTTGTATACACATTGAAATGACAATTTCGTATTTTCATTTTAACGAATTTTCTTCTTTCTTTACAGTCTCTTTTCCTTGTGAAAACATTTTGCACTAAAAAATAAAAAAAACTCGAACTACTTTCAAAGCTTTTTGACTTCGATTTTCCCCTCCCACCCAGAGAAGAAGATGCAAAAAAAGAATTTCTTAATCATCCCAGACGTTACAATTCTTCTTCCTCGTTTCCATCTTCATCTCGCTCACATGTGATGGATACACGCAGCAAACAGAAACGTCTTGGCCCGGCGCCAATTGCTTCATTCGAAAAATCCTTCGAGGATCCTTCACCATTGACTGTAGCTTCAATAGCTGCACAAAATGAAATTGCTGATGGAGGCAGCAATAATGGCGGAATTGACTATGGAGAAGATGTTGGCCGACTGGATGTAAACCAAGAGCACTTGGGAGATAGTGAAAGAAGAAATGATGGCACAACCCGAGGACCAAATGAGTGTGGCCAATGGCATGTGGAAGAGGTGAGTTGAAAAGAGGGAGGTAGGAAATGATAGATTGACCTCAATAAATAAACTGAACAAAATATGGATTTCGTTTTAAGTAATCGCAATTCATAGCGAAATGGGAATTATTATTTTCGGTATATGGGGTTTTTGTTCGGTGAGGCGGAAAGAGGATTTACATGAGTATGTTATGAATGAGGGGGAGAGGAATTTGTGGCATAGTTTGTAATATAATTTGGTTTTGGAATAAAATTTCTTTGGAAAATATTAGGGTCCACATGGAATTTAAACGGACAAATTGGAAAATATTACATTTTATTAGATTTTGTTGTAGAAAATATTATGTTCCCAAAGATTTTTGATAGAAAAAATTTGATTCTACAAAATGTTATTTAAAAATATTAGGTTCCACAAGATTTTCTGAAAAAATATTAGGTTTCACACGATTTTGTATAGAAAATATTGGGTTCCACATGTTTACATGTAGAAAATATTAGGTTCCACAACATTTTCTATGAAAAATATTAGGTTCCACAAGATCATCTATAGAAAATACTGAGTTCCACATGATTTTCTATAGAAAAAATGTGGTTCCACAATGTTCTCTATTGAAAATATTAGGTTCCACAAGATTTTCCGCTGAAAATATTACGTTCCACAAGATTTTCTTAAGAACATATTAGGTTCCACTAGTTTTTCTATTGAAAATATTAGGTTCCACAAGATTTTCTATTGAAAACTTTGAGTTCCACAAAATGCTCTGTAGAAATAATTAGGTTCCACAATGTTTTCAGTTGATAACATTAGGTTCCACAAAATTTTCCACTGAAAATATTACCTTCCACAAAATGGTTTATTAAAAAATTAAAATTTTGCATTAAAAAATTTGGTTCCACAAAATTATTTATTGAAAAAATAGGTTCCACAATATTTTCTATAGAAAATACAAAATTTTATTCCACAAAATTTCCCATTGAAAATATTTCGATCCTTGGACACTGAATTACGTTGCATACAGATTCCACAACTATTTCTGTGGCTAGAATACTTTCCCCCCATTACCACGAGTTAATATTGCAAATCTCCGTCTCAGATTTATGACAATTTCTAATTAATTCTCCAGCTTATATACATCCTGCCAGGAAAAAACCAGACGCCATATCATTTCATACAACTCGGTTGTGATTTAAAATACATTGATTTTGCCTACATCCATGTGTACTCATCCACACACACACACACACATACACCACTACAATCATTTTAAATTGTTAAACATCTTGGGGAAAATATTAACATTCGACAATTTGACACTTTAAGCTTTTGCTCACGCATTTAATAAAGTCTCACGTACGCACATAGCAGTACAACACCTACATCCCCACACACATTCACAACTTCTCGTTGATTTAACTAAGCCAACTAACACGGTCACGCTTTTACACTATTTACACATAACCAATACAGCCACCCTCTAACTCACTCGCGTAGTTCTACAGTTCACTCAATAAAGCAACAACATTGATTTGTAAAACCAACAGCAACAACAACAACGACAACACCAGCAATAATTTACAAATACAATTATTTCAAGTAACAACAACACCAATACACAGATAAATCGACACGAAGGAAATCGCTATTTACTTCGTCCGTTGTTCGGCAAAAAAACGAGAAACGGGATATAAAAATAAATGTTTATAGATTTAGGCGACAGATGACTAGGAACGGGGATAAATGATGGAAGAGACAGCAAGGCAGGCAAGCAGGCAGTCAGTCAGCCAGTTTGTCATTTTGCCATATATGGTTGTAACACACAATGGAGAAAGAAGAAGAAGCATCAAGAAAATATTCCTCAATCACGTGGCTATATTTTATGGTGGAAAGGAAAGGAACAGAAAAAAATTATGTAGTATTTGGTGTAAAGGAATGAAGGAAATGTTATAGTACTCACACACACACACATCCTCGCTCCCAATACATAACCAGGGAATAGAGAATCACAATTATCCTTGGGCCCACTGCGTTGCTGTTGAGAGGGGTGGGGTGGGGTGAGGGCGAAGGAATGTTTTGTGTGTGTGTGTGCTGTAAACAACTCCAACAACTGTCGAAATAATTCTTGTTGTTGTACTCTCAGATATAATTTACAAAAGATATTGCACGTTAGGACACAACAACAACAAACAAATAACAGCAACAACAACACAGTCGACGACGATAACAACAACGACAACAGCGTTATTAATAAATTTAACATGTGCGTGCCTGTCAACTTATCTGTCAAAGTTTTGCTTGAAGTTAAACAAAAACACCAAAAGAGAGAGAGAGAGAGAGAAGAAAGGGGGAGAGAGAGGAAGATACAATACTAAATAATGAACATGCTGGCTCCGTTAACAGAGAGAGTTGTAAAGATAAATAGTATTTTTCATAGAGAAATGCATAGATAATTGGTTGTTTGTGGAATAGAAAGCAGGCAAAAAATGGTGAGAGTTATGAGAGAGGGAGAGTCAAAGTGATGATAATACTACATTAATTGTTGTTTATATTCTATAGAAAACAAAGAGATTTTAAAACGTTCCAAAAAAATAAAATAAATAAATAAATGAAATTAATAAAAATAAATAAATAATAAAATATATATTTCTTTACACAAGATTTCCTATAGAAATTTATTTGGTTTCATGAGAAAATATTAAGACCCACAAGATTTTTTTATAGAAATATTACGATCCACAATATTTTTAGAAAAGGTTAGATAATGTTACAAATTTTACGATCCACAAGACTTTCTTTAGAAAATTTTACGATCCACAAGATCTTCTCTAGAAAATTTTACGATCCACAAGATTGTCTTAAGAGAATATTAAGATCCACAAGATTTTCTTTTCACAATGTACGATCCACAACATTTTCCTTAAAAAATATTATGATCATGGAAAATATTACGATCCACAAGACTTTTTATAAAAAAATTACAATTCCCCAATTTTATGAAATGAAAAATATGAAAAATTTTACAATCCACAAAGTGTCCATAGGATACAATTATTACAATTCACAATTTTTTTAAATACCTTTCAGAATATATATAATCCATAAAATCTTAAAAAAAATGGAAAGTTGTTTCTTACGAAAAATTTACGATTCAAAAGATTTTTTAGAAAAAATATTACTGTCCACATTTTTTTTTAGAAAATATTACGATCCAAAAGATTTTTTTAGAAAATATTACGATCCAAAAGATTTTTTAGAAAATATTACGATCCAAATGATTTTTTATAAAAAATTTTAATAAATATATTAAAATCAGTGCTTTTACAATTTTCCTTGAAAATATTACGATCCACAAAAATTTTCATAATAAACATTACGATCCACAACATTTCCTATAGAAAATAGGAAATGACAGACATAGCGTTCTCTATAGAAAAAAGAGAAATATTATACAACCTTAAGGAAATACACTAAATTGTAGAAAAAATCGCAATATTAGCTACACTGCTAAATAAACATTGTGAGAGAGCGAGATAACTCTCAGTTATGAGGGTTAAGATAAAATTCATTCAAACAGCTGTGAAAAGCTTTTTTATGCTCACCCTCCTCTCATTACATATATCATTCTTGCGTTCGCACGCTCTACTCTCTCTCTCCCTCTCATAAATGTTCATTATCTTTATCCCCATTGAACCCCTAAAAGTATACTAACAAAACATAAAATAAAATTATCTGTGTGTACGCGAGCAAAACTTTGAAACTGAACCAAACTGTGTCTCCTCTGTTTCATTGAGGGTTAGAAGCTTTAAGGAAAATTTTTCTACATTCAGTTGATAGTGGAGCATACGCGTGATAACGTAACGTAACGAAGAAAATGAAATGCCTTTGCCATGGCTGTTATAGATAAGTGAAAAAGCAAAGCAAGCAAGCCAGCCAGCAAGTGGACTTTAAGCAAAGAAAAAAAACGGGAACAAGCAAAGAGGGCACCAGAAATATGTAGCATACTTTTGGGGTGCTGCAAAGTGAAAGAAAGAAAATTCCAATAAAAAAAAATGCCAAAAGAAAAAAGTATTTGTGTGTAATGGGCAAAATAATTTGTGAAATTCGGTGAAAATAAATGCAATTCTTAAATCAAAGTAATTCTAAAAATAAAAATAATAAAAAATTATCTATAATTGATTATTAACCGAAAAAGGAGAAACAGAAAAAACAGCCCTACAGCCTAATTGTGGGCTAACGTGGAGCCACAGAAAGAGAGCGAGCGAGAGAGGAAAGGTAATATCCAGAAATTTACTAATAAAATATTAAACGGAATTAAACATTCCGAAAATATACTGAAAGGCTGGTTTAATGAAAGATAAAAATAATAATACTAATAGTATATTTCTAAGAAAGATATAACCACATCATATATAGTAAACGAATTCCAATTGGAATATTAATTTCCATTTCAAAAATCTATCCCTGATTTTTTTGGGGTCTCCAAAAATTATATCACAAATTCCATTTATATGAAATGTAAATTAAAACATGTTTGTTCATGTTCTGTGATACACATAAAGATGCCACTTCTGTGTGAGGACAGGCAAAGGGTCACGTTAGCAGCAACAATCAAAAAATAGCACAAACACACACTCACTCGCTCACTCACAAAAAACACCTGGCGCACACACAGAGCACACCAACAACAATGTGGCATACTTTTAGGAGGGATCAAAAGCATGTTGTTGTTGGGATTTTAAGTATGTTCATCGGTTCGTTTCCATTTTTATTTTTCTTTTTTTGCTCGGTTCATTTGTTTGTCTCTCGACTAGATTTCCAAATAACGACGGCATAGATTGCAAAAAACAAGACCAAATGTTGGTCCGCAATCAAAATAGTGTCAATAAACTGGGAACAGCAAAAAATGCCAATGAAGAGGAGGGGGTTTCACACACACACACACACACTCAGAAACCATTCACAATTGCTCATTTCAAATAGAAAAATGTATGCTAAAATCTAGATCATCGTTTTCTGTTGTTGTTGCTGCCATTTGTTTCCTTTTGAGTAAAGAGGTGACACCAATGTAACATCGTTGCACCAAAAAATAAGAAAAACCAACAACAACGACAGCAAGAACAATAATGAAATCAAAAGCAAATACAACATTTTGCATACAAATTAAGAGCATAATGTTAGGAGCCAAGAAAAATAAAAAAATGGTGTAGCATACTTTTTGGCAATAAATATCCAAATTGAATTCAGCACGAAGTGGATTTTAATGCAAGTGGACTAAAAGTTAATATTTCAGGGTAAAAATTTACATATTTTGGCAAGGATACAGTTTTCGTAGTAGTTAGGTTCAGTTGAACAAGGCGAATGGACCACGGAACTCCAAAGATGCTGAACCCAACTAATCAAATCGCTGCCAATAAAAATTACATTAAAATGTTATCATTACGAAGTCTAGTTGAAAAAATCAATCGACAAGAGAACAACTTTTGGGCACATAAAAAAATACATTTAAAAAATTATTCGCTGCAAAAATTTCTAGTGTTGGCTCCAGAGGAGCAGAGCTAACTGTTACATAACCTTAAGCTAATGAATTCTCCTTCGTTGGGGACCTACTAAACAATTAAAATTTGATTGGTCATTTCCGCTGGAAAAATGAAACATGGAAATTGCCATTCGATGCAGAACTTCAATGAGGAACCTATTCATGGAATCGCTCAAGGGCTCTATGCTTCCCTGATATGCTGGGAAACATAAAATAAACATAAAATATATCAATATTCAATCGAATTAAAAATAAATATAGGTTCACATCTGAGAAATGCTATTCTTCTGTTGTATTTGTAGAAAAATTGAAATAGGAGCCACATGCTAAAACGGCATTTACATTAGAACTTTTTACCGGGTTAATCTACTCTATGAGGATTTATTTGACATGGGTTAACGAAATCCGGTATAATGTAAACGTACTATAAGTCCTTCCTCATTTTTTTATGTTCTAAAGGGATAATAAAGCAATTCAAAACCAATATAAATTAATTAACCGACCCATGCTTATACTACATTCCCTTAAAAATTGTCAGAGCTCACAATTGATTAAAGTGGATCTGAAAGGGATATCGGGTTTCTAAAAGCCTTCCTTGAACATCTCAAATGATAAACGCCATCTATATATGAAAATGTCGACACAAAGATTAGGATAGACTTTTTATAAGACTTTCCTGAAGTTCCAGAACTTCTCAGAGAAGAAACGCCATCTACCTGTTCTAAAGAAAAATAAAGACACAAAAAAAAAAATAATATTTTTCAGAAGTTTTTCCGGATGTTTCAAAACATCTGGTAGGAGAAACGCCACCAACTTGTGTAAATAGCAAAGAAATAATCGTCAACCCTCCCAAACCTTCTCAAGGAAGAAACTCCAAATACCTGATCACAAAAACAAAAAATTAGAAGTTTTACCAGAATTATCAAGTCTTTTCATAGGAGAAACGGCACCTATTTGTGAAAATATCAAGGTTAGTGAATACATCCACCATAGCTTCTCGAATAACAGCAATCAAATAAGGGGTACTTATTATGGAAGTACATGGAACGTCACCTCTTTTTTCCTCAACAATTAAAAACATGTTTCAGAAGTCTTCCCTGAAGCCCACACAATTCTCATTGGTAGAACGACATCTACTTGTAGATATAAGTAAGTGAAAATGTGGAGCGTTTAGGATACAGTTACAATTTTCACAAGTAGGTAGCGTTCTACCTCTAAGAACTGTGTGTTTTTCTAAACCTAATACTAATTAAATCCTAATACTACTATTCGTAAAAACTTCTTACGGCCCTAGTTTCAATATATGATTGATAATTTTATGAGACGTCACATATTTCTCTCCACCAGATGTTATATCATCAAATTGTAATAAAAACGCCATCTACTTGTGAAAAATAACAAAAACTCAAGAACGTCGTCATTGTTGTTTTACACTTAAAAATTATAAATTTTAATTTTAAAGAAGAGACTTTGAGAAGTCTTTAAGATTCTCAGATTCTCATGAAAAGCCATCTGCTTCTGCATGAAGGGCACCACAGCATTTTTAAATTGATAAAAACCTGAATTGGTCCATAATCCTTTGGAAAGAAGAAAGAGCGAAAGAACATCAGCACTCTGAAGATAGTTTTTTCTATGGAATTCTCGCATAACCCATTCATCTTCATACATTCAGCATTCACCTTGGAGATATAAGCCAATCCCATCAACTACATTCCTATCTTATAACATATAATAATCAACGCCATCTACTTGATAAAAATCTGCATATTTATTTTGCCCTATAAACTCAAACGTATCATTACGCCATCTACACTTCGATATTAGAATTAAAATAGTTTGGAATGGCTAAAAAGTCTGCAAATGCTTAAAAATTATATACATATTTTGTTCGATGCGATACAAATTGTGGCGATTTTGGTAATATCTTGCAGAAATTATTTTTAAAATTGAATTGAATGGTGCTAATTTCATCTATAGATGTAGTATAACAACGCCATCTATACTTCGATGAAGCAGATAAATTTATTATAGAATCTCATTAGTTTGGAATTGATATATGTCGGCATTTTTTTAAAAAAATTATAGAGATTTGTTATCCGATCGGCTACATTATCGTATTATCTGTCAGAAAGTCTTTCAAACTTTTTGATTGTGAAATTTTCACCTATATATGGCGCTATCGTGAGGATTCATGGCATTTTTTCAATGAGCCTAAAAGTATGCCTTACGTTTAGGAGGGCTTGATGAAGGAGTTATATATTAGCACTTTAATTAGCCTTTAGAAAATCTTTAGCGATTTAGTGAAGATTGCGTGCGTTTTGAAGAGTGGCGTCAATGGCAATTTTCAACATCAGCCTAAAAGTATGCAAAGATTTTTAAAGGAGAGGTGAATGGTGGAATTTTATATTTGGACTTTAATTAGTTCTTAGCTAATTTCTGCTAGTGAAAAATTTAGCATAAAGATGTTGCAAAGAGACCTCATTCTAAATCTCTCGAAACTTTCTTTCATTTTAAAGCAAATAAATCTCTCAGAGGTCCATTCTCTTGACAAACAATCAATAGGGAATCTAATTAATAAATTCAAATTTATAAAAGAAACTTGCTGGAGAATAATTTTTCCTCTCCCTCTTCCTCTTCTTTTAAATTCCATTCTTGGCTTCACCCAAGAAATTGCCGGCCCATAGTTCCCTTTAAATGCATGTTGATTCCATGGCCTGAGGTTTTTTCCTTCGGAATACTCCAATGGTCGCCTCTCTACATATTTTATAGCCATTATTTACTTGTCTGACTAGAAATATGTCGTCTGTGTGGACAACAGGAATAACAACAACAATAAAAACAGCGAAAGAAAACAATTAAGGCTTGACAATAAAAAGCAAACAAATAATAAAAAAACGACGAAATAAATAAATACAACAAAACAAACAAAATATATAGCCAATGGACAAATTCCAGACTGCAGAACGGGACTACAAGAAAAAAACTTGAATTTTTAAAGAAACCCCAAAAAACAACAACAAAACATTTATTTCATCCTTGTAAGGCAATATTTAGAAAACAATGTCCACATGGCGGTAAACACACGCACGCACCCACCCGCACACTCACACATACACTGTAACAGTTTTTATGCATTTTCATGAAGTTTGTACAAAAAAAAACTGTCTAAAGGACATTTTTATCCTTGCTTCTTGCCTTGTGTCAATGCTAGGCAATGTAATGTTTTGTTGTTGTCATGTTTTTTGTTGCTGCTGTTGATATTGCCTCCAAGCAAATTAAAGTTAAAAAACTCAACCACTCAACAAAGTTTTTTTGTTGTTGTTTGTTTGACGTTTTGTTTTTGTCCTGGTGTCCAAATGTACACCGACGTCTTCAAGGTTTTTAATATCTCTATGTAAGTGTGTATGTAATTGCACATGCTGACACACACACACACACACACAGCGACAACGACACTGACTTCAATAGTAATAGTTGTTATTGCTTCGTTTCCTTTTCCTCTTGCTTTACACTAAATGTCTCTGGACAAATATGAGAACAGCAGAAACAACAACAACATCATATCAAACATTGTTGTTAGTATAGTTACGTGGTAGTATGAAAATTTACTCACAAACACATGTAGAAAAAAATTCCTCAATACCCTGAGGACTGATTCCTCTTTAGAAAAAACACTTAAGTCCCCTGAGGTCTGTTTTTTCTATAGAAAAAAATCCTCTGGTCCTCTGAGGACTCTTTTTCTATAGAAAAAAATTCCACAGATCCGCTAAGAACTCTTTTTTATAGAAAAAAATCCCTCAGGTCCGCTGAGGACTCTTTTTTATAGAAAAAAAAAATTCCCAGGCCATGAAAACTATTTTTCTATAGAAAAAATTCCTCAGGACCTGAGGACTATTTTTTCTGTAGAAAAAAATCCTCAGGCCCATGAGAACTATTTTTTATAGAAAAAATTCCTCAGGCCTTTGAGGACTATTTTTTCTATAGAAAAAATGCTCAGTAAACGCTGTAGTCTAAACGTGCTATAATTTCTCCATGCATTCCCCTCCCCCTTCGAAATACAACACTGTATTTCTCTCACACATTTCACACGGCCATTAATGCCTTTGGCTAACTTTCATTTTATCCTCCCTCACTCCTAGGCATATCAAATGCATAGTTATGCACATGAATATGTATGTATATTCTTGTCTAGATATGTATGTGTGTGTGGATATATGCAGAATTATAAGTTATTGCTAAAAGGTTGCCATTGTGTGTGGGCCACATCACACTTTATATTAAATCACCTTTTAAATGAATGGCCTTCTTTCGAGTGGAAAAAAGGATTTTAGTGTGAATACAAAGACAAACTGAAACTTTATGGCTTTAAAATGTGTAGAGGTGAGAG